GTAGTGCCTAAGGCACTTGACTGCTAACCAGAAGGCTGGTGGTTCAAACCCACCAGCCACTCCTTGGAAGGAAGATGGGGCAATCTATTTCCATAATGATCCTGCCTTGGAAACCCAAGGAGGGGTTGCTATGAGTCAGGTCTGACTTGACGACACATAACAACAACAATAACAACATGAGCTTTATGATAATAAAATGATTTTTACAAAGTTATTTGACAGAGAGAGATGGTGAGTACAGGTAAAGTAGAGTAGTATTGATTTACAACAGTGAGACAGTGATTGGAACTTACTATTCTAGGAAAGTGGGGAAGAGAAGCTGGTGAGATCAAGAGCCATCACACTTTGGAGGTTGACAATGTTCCTAGCCTTCAAATTGAGTTAGAAAATGGGGCCCCACTAGAAGTTGCCCTCCTTGAACACCATAACACCACAGGGAGCTTATTTTTTCTCTCAAACCCCCATAACTTATGTTCTACCACATTCAGAACTCCATGAGCATCTTGCCATAAAAGACCTTGCCAGTACTTACAACATAAGAAAGGAAACAGGTATCCATCACTCTGGAACACACACAGAGCAACAGTAGCAAAATTTACCCCTTCTCAGGACGATTGGTAGTGGAACAGTTCATCTGTGCATGTCACCAATTTCATTAAAATTTGCAAAAAGCTCTTAAATCACACCTTAGCAATGAAGCCAACTCTGGAGCACAAAATTCTTTATTCGCCTTCTCATGACTTTGTTTTACCTGATGCAGGCAAGTCGCTGTTAGTTGCCAACCAGTCAATTCTGACTTGTGACAATACCAAGCATGTGTGCAGAGTAGAACTGCTCCATAGGGTTTTCAAGGCAGTGAGCTCTCAGAAGGAGATCACCAGGACTGTTTTAAAAGCACCAACTTATATCTCAGATGTTTGCTCATTGAACTTGAAATGAAGCTTCTGATTTCTCTGTGCTCACTGTTTGCCCTTATCTTTGTGCTCAATGGAATCTTGGAGTGTCCTGCTTGAAATGGTCAAACCTGTTGACCACACAAAGGTCCCAAACTCTCTCTGATACAGCCCTTCCCCATGATCTGTTTATGCAGGAAAGAAACCCAAGAGCTGTCCCACTGCTGCCCCCTGCACAGGTACTTCCCCTCTCCCACCTCCCCTAATGGTCCCCAAGGGCTCCTTCCTCCCACCAGGCCGGTAACAGGAAGAACTGTTGCCTTTCAGACAAAGAGAAGCTCCGACTCAGGGGAGGAGACACCATGTGCTCAGGCCGAGTGGAGATTTGGCACAATGGCTCCTGGGGCACAGTGTGTGACGACTCCTGGAGCCTGGCAGAGGCTGAAGTGGTGTGTCAGCAGCTGGGCTGTGGCTTTGCCCTGGAAGCCCTACAGAAGGCTGCATTTGGCCCGGGAAATGGGAGCATCTGGCTGGATGAGGTGCGGTGCAACGGCAGGGAGTCCTCCCTATGGGCCTGTGCTGCACAGCCCTGGGGGCAGAGCAACTGCAAGCATGAGGAGGACGCTGCAGTGAGGTGCTCTGGTGAGTGCAGGAACAGGAAGAAAGGAAGAAGGCTGCAGGAGGACTGAGTTTGTAACCAGAAGCACTTTCTGGGTGGACCCGCTGCCCTCTCCCCTGGCTTTGGAAATGTAGTAGTCTGGTCTCATGGAATCTGAGAAAGAAGGAAGTGGCAGTGATAGTGGGTTTGATGCTATAGCTTTTCCAGTGGTGCATTTTCTTTGTCTTCCCTCCAGGTGAGAGGACAACATCCTCCCCTAATCTTGGAGGTAAGTGGTTCCTCTGTTCTGAGTATGTAATAGAGAAGATACTTGGATTTGCAGGGACCTGCACTATGAAATATCCATATTTCTGGCAAGACTCACCAGATCAGTACAAGAAAGGTCTCCAGGTGTTTATAACCCTATTCAGTTATGGCAGCCATGAAGATCATAAGATTCACCAGCATTCATTTTACAGAAATCATTTAGGACCAGGTTCAGCAGACAGTTGATGTAGCTCAGAGAAGCTCCTGAATCAGGCACATCTTCTGGTTCAGGAAGACCCAGGTTATTTGAACTGGTGACATCAGGGTACTGAAGACTCAGGAGGTGACTATGAGAAGGAGTTCTGCTGGGCTTATGATCCTCCTCAAAGTCGTATGGCCCTTTTTATCTCCTCAGGTTCCAGTTCACCCTCAGCCCCTGTCTCTGACACCTTCTCCCTGCCTGTGGTCCTATGTGTCATCCTAGGAGCCCTTCTCTTCCTGGCCCTTGTCATCTTAGCAACTCAGCTGCACAGATGGAGAGCAGAGCACAAAGGTGAGCCTTACAGATACTAAATGAACTGGAAAGCATATGAGCAGGGTATTGGGCCAATTAGATACCAAGAAAAATGCACAAGTTTTAGTTTTCACCCTCATCATCTCCCAAAACTCCACCTTCTGTACAATAGACTCCAAAGTTTGCATAATTAAGTCCTAGGTCCGGGGTTCAGTGTGCAAACTATCAAAAAGTATAGATTCCTGTGTGAGCATTTTTAATGACCAGGACCAAGCAACCTAGTTCTGGCACAAGAGGGCACAAGGCTAAAGAAATGTACCCTGACATCCCAGAGGGTTTCTCCAAGGGTGAACACTGGGAACTACTAAAGGCTTTGTCTCTTGGGAAGGGCAACATTTCCAGTGACAGTCTCTGAACTTGTGCTGCTTTCCCCAGCCTTACCCGATTTTGAAGGTGTTCTTGATGAAGTTTTGTATGAGGATATTGATTACCTTGTAAAGCAAAAGGAAGACCTTCTGGACAGCTTAGGTATGTATCCTATGTCCCCCCTTCTCTTCATGAATTGGCTGTGAGTTTGGGTATCTTCAACAAAGACAGACCCCACCACTACCTCTCACTCACATGTAACATTCTCCTATGGTAGGAACATCAAGCCTTCTCTTTACTAGTCTAAAGACAAGCTTTCTTCTGACCCTTGATACTGGACTTCCTACTGTGGGAAAAGTTTTGCTCTCTGTCTCTGATATGTTTCTCTCTACCAGACAACCTGTCTGATGATGCAATGACTAAGCTGCCATATTACACAGGGGACTATGAGGAGGATAGAGATCCTGAATCTGCTCAAGGTAATAAATATAGGTCTGTCCTTGGATGGAGAGTGGAAAAGAGGAATTCCATTAGAGAAAAACATTTTTCTATGACTGAGAAGGAAAGGGTCTCTTTTTTCCAGGTGGCAACAATTCTTTCCTCTCTCTGCCCACTCTGTGACCTCAGAAAGGGAAAGATCAAGCTTAATTCTCTGTAGCCATAGCTACTGTTCAGGCATAGAAACACATGTGGTTCTACTGTATTGTTACAGATCCAAAGGTCATGTTTTTAAAATAACATTGAAACTAATAAAAATCTCAAAAATTCCATAGGGAGAAAGAACACTGGGAAATATGTTTTGATTTATGAGATAGTGTGATATTTGGATTATTTGGCACTTCATATGTATAGGGAGTTCTGGTAGCATAGTGCCTAAGGCACTTGACTGCTAACTAGAAGGCTGGCAGTTCAAACCCACCAGCCATTCCTCGGAAGGAAGGTTTGTTCAATCTACTTCCACAGTGGTACTGCCTTGGAAAACCCAAGGAGGGGTCACTATGAGTTGGCTCCGACTCAATGGCACATAACAACAACAACAACATGTATAGTGAGATGAAAGAAAATTTGATTTTAATAAACCCCTGAAACACAGAGAGTGAACAATGTTGTACTTACCAACCACCAGGAGCTCTTATTTATGGGGATCCTAAGAGAGAAGACTGAAGAGCCCTCGTGGCTCAGTGATTAAGCACTCAGCTTCTAACCAAAAGGTCAGCAGTTCAAATCCAATAACTGCTCTACAGGAGGAAGGTGTGGCAACCTGCTTCCATAAAAATAACAGCCTTGGAAACCCTATAAAGCAGTTCTACTCTGTCCTATAAGGCACTGTGAATCAGCAATGGACTTGGTGATTTTTTGTTTTGTTAAAGAAAGGAAAATGTTTGTCCTGGGTATTCCCCAGGTAGCAGAGATGGGCAGCTCGTGGAATGGGACATGTCTGGAAGGCTTTGTGGAAATGGGATCCTGACATCATCAGAGCACTGGAAAGGATTGAAACCCAGGCCTTCCATGATTGGGATTGGTGGGGATCTCCTGTCTCCGGCTGACAGATCCCCACGCTGCCTTCTCCCTACAAGCTCTGTGTCTCTCACAGCCTCAGAAGATAAGTAAGCAGCCTGGGTTCTTTTGGTCCAAGTTCACCCTCCCTGAGTGACTGATATGTACATATTATGTTTTGCAACTCTTTTACCATATGTTGAAAATAGTACCTGAAACTCATAGCACAATAACTAACTCACTGCTGTCGAGTCAGATCCAATTCATAGCAACCCCACCTTGGGTTCCCCGATGGTATCACTATGGAAGTAGATTGCCAGATTAAGGGTTTGAACCACCAGCCTTCTGGTTAGCAGTCAAATGCTTTAGGCACTACCACACCAGAGCTCCCCACAGCACAATAACTTTTGTTATTTTTTTATGGTATGAAAGGACATTTTAGAAAAATATTGTTGACCTTTATACATTCTAATGTTTTGATGGTTCGTGGGAATATTGAGATCAAATACATACCTTTGGGAAAGTCTGGGTCTATATTTATCAGCTAGTAGAATCTCTGTATGAAAAGAGATTTTGGATACCACTTAGTCCAACCAATATTTTCCTATTCTACCTATGTCCTTGTCTACTCCAGAGCCTCCAGGAAATCATGTTGATGCCACTGAAAATGGCTATGATGATATTGAAGAGTTACCTGTTCCTGAACTTCCTCCTACCCCTGGGATGAGTGAAAAACATTTTTTCCC